TATGTATGTATATATATGTATATGTATGTATGTATGTATATATATGTGTATGTATATGTATGTATATATATGTGTATGTATATGTATGTATATATATGTGTATGTATATGTATATATATATGTATATGTATGTATATATATGTATGTATATATATATGTATATACATATATATACATACATATATGTATATATATATGTATATGTATATACATATATATACATACATATGTATATGTATATACATATATATACATACATATATGTATATATATGTATGTATGTATATGTATATGTATATGCATATGTATATTTATATATACGTATATATGTGTGTATGTATGTGTATGTATGTGTATATATGCATGTGTATGTATGTGTATATATGCATATGTATGTATGTGTATATATGCATATGTATGTATGTGTATATATGCATATGTATGTATGTGTATGTATGTGTATGTATGCATATGTATGTATGTATGTATATATATGTATATATGTGTATATGTATATATACGTGTATATGTATATATACGTGTATATGTACGTATATATGTGTATATGTATGTGTATATGTACGTATATATGTGTATATGTACGTATATATGTGTATATATATATATGTGTATATGTATATGTATGTATGTATGTATGTATATATATATTTTAAAAGTTTTTAAATCGCTCATTTGGCTTCTGAAATAAGCTAGGATGGTTAATCAAATTGCTAATCGAAGGCAACTGTATGAGAGACATCATTTTACAGTGATGTTAACTTTGGATTAAAGCATAAAAGTGACTGAAATATTAAAACATCTGTTCAAATGTCTTGATTTAATCTTGTAAATGCTCCACACATCTTCCTAGCCGGCTGTTCAAAGCTCTCTCTCTTTCAGCAAGTTTTACCTCCGATCTGGATTACAGAGATATTTTCTCTCTTATTTTTGTAAAGCTTGTTATAATGTTGGTGTGATTCGTGAAGCTTCAGTATTTTTTTACATGTGTATTGTTATTGGCTGATGTTCTACACGGTACACGCAAGGTTTAAATCTAATTTTTCCTGCCACTCTTTCTCTCTTCCGTTTACTCTCACTATCGCCTCTACACTCCACGTCTGACATACTCTCCCTGAGAGCTAAGCCTTTCAATTTAGATTTCAATTATCATGTTAGTTTTGTGATTAGACTTTAGTCCTCCAGGAATCAGTCCTCTCTGCTCCTCTCTATTCCACTCTATTCCACTTCCCCTGCAATCACATCCCATCTGATGAATTGCGCATATAATTATGGAAGTTATTGAATATGCAGATCACTGCTGACTCTTGGTGTGCGGTTGATAATGCATCAACTCTAACTGTATCAAACAAGGGTCTCTGATAAAGACCCACTCTGATAATGAGAGAGGGCCAATGTATGCTATTAGTCAGAGATAACAGACACCACAAAGGCTGAGACTCAATTAAAACAAAGCCACGCTGTAATCTGTGTACGTGTGTGTACGTGTGTGTGTGTGCTCTCCTAAACAGCACTCAGGCCTGTGTAGACACTTGCCACTGGGCACAGTCAGGTTTGCCATTACAACCAGCACAATACAAACTAGACCAACATGAGGTATTTCCCCTATGTTACAGTATGTTGCTACCATCGTTTTACACCCCGTCCCATGATGCAATCCCTGGGAGCTTTTTAAGGGAGGGGAGAGAAGCACTTTAGAGGCACACCCACAGGAGAGGGTTGTGGGAAATTTTGTAACTTTTGACAGCTTTTAGAGAGCTATACTAAAAACCTGGCTCACTAGCAAAGAGGAAAAAGTCTTTCATGCATTTTGCTGTTAGAATTCTGGATGGACGTGTTGCTTGCTCCTCAACAGGTCCAAAACCAATACTCATTTTTTTTTCCACATAATGCTAGTCTTACAGGGTTTCTCATCTTAAGTTTCACACACAATTGAGAATACAGGGAAACGGAAGAAAACGGCTCCTGTATTTTTAGCCTGAGCTATAGTGATGTAGCTGCCATTTATAGCTGATATGCCAGGCTGATGCTGGACGGCTGCCCTGCTGACACCAGAGAGGAGGGTTTATGGACTGCACAAACTCTGCACAACGCGATCGCAGACTGACATAAAATAAGCAGATCACATGTAGATCAATTTGATTCCGACGTATTTAATTGATGAAAATATTTATATATTTTAAGATTTGTAGGATAAAGTGACACATAGTGGAGGTGATCTCAAGGTGCAGACTAGTGGCCATCTAAGAACACACATGTGTACTTCAAACAAAGACACGATGCAAATATCAAAACACGAAAAACGTAAATGTGCAGCAAGTGAGGAAACGATACGCCACTTTTTAACTTCAGAATCAGAAATACTGAAGCTCTCCTTGGTGCTTTCATTCTTGTGCATGTGTTTTGATATTTGCAATATTTGTGTTGTCACTCCATCTGCATTTCTTTTAATCTTTTAATCACTTTTAACCAAGTCAATATGATATTCTTATAGTATATCCTGCATGGCATTTATTTTGCACACACATGCATGTATGCATCTACATTCATTAAACCTTGATTTATATGCAAGAGATCATACAGACATGATGCTTACGTGTGTACTTGACAGCATTAATTGAGATACTCCTGGGTCCTTTTTGACCACACCCAACTAGTTGATTATTTCATGCAAAACATCTTGTGCCTCTTACCACCTCTCTTCTGATTGGCCATTACTGTTTGCTGATAGTCTACTTAAGTCTGTGGAATTACTTTCGCTGTAAGTACTGCTGACTATGGTCCTACGACTAAAATAGTAACCTTTATTTCACATCTTTTTGCATCCGGAGAAGTTGCTTTTTAGTCGGAGCCTTTTCTCCACAGTGATGAGTTCACCTTGGCTACACACACCTGACTCCACTTCTTGGTAAGCCTGGAGTCAAGAGTGACATTTTTTTCCACATTGTTAATTTTGGCATACATTTTCCTCACTATATTTGGTTATTTAATGAGTAATATTTTTTTTCGTGACTTTCCCTTTTAAATGTGTTTATTTCCATTGAACTCAATCCTTGAAAAAGCTTAAACGGTATTAAAACCAAGGCAATAATCCGGTATGTTTTGAAAATCTTGCTGGATCTTTTTGACTGTCATGGCTGTCTGTTATAATTAAGACTCAGCACAAGATTTCAGCACATGTGTATTATTACGTTCATAGGATTGAACACTTTTACACCAACTGTTAGCTTAACAGGAGGTCAAAAAGGTGACTTAAACTTTGTTAAGGGGCTTACATTGGAGCTCACATAGCATGAAAGTGGCTGACTAATGGGCCTAGACACTGACAGAAAATACAGTTTAGGGACTGTGCTCGTGTTCAATGTTAAATGCCTGTTCTGTGGTCTGTAAAGTAAAAAAATAAATAAAACTAAAGGGCATGGTTTTCCTAAATGGCCAATGAGATTTGACTGCCCTTTACTGTAAAAAGTGTGTTGCAAGTGCAGTGACCTTTGTCAAGTTCCAGCTATTGTTTACAGATTGGTTACACACTCTACAGGCTGTGAAAGACACATCTGCTACCTTCAGCTCAGTGGACAGCAGATAGACTGTCAGGGTTGAGGGTTAGGGTTGTGTGTGTGTGTGGGTAGGTGGGGTCCTCAGCTACCCGGTCACACAGCTACAGTCCCTATCTTCTTATCAAATATTTGTCTGGCCTTCACTCCCTATTTGCCTTCTATTCTGTTTGCTTTTTTATTGAAATCTATCTTAGGCAGATTGATAAAGTTTAGTTGTTTTTGTCTGTTTTGCATTAATCTAGGTGTGTATATTTTACACAATGAATTTAATTTTATATTGTACTTAAAATGTATGTTCATAGATATTTGATGCTGATATACGGATATTTTCCACATTATTTAGATTTGTTAGGATTTTGAAATTGCACACCAGGAATTTGATACCATGTGAGTTTGAAATCACAGAAAATTCCCTTTACATTGTTTTCATCAAATATAAAACCATATTTGTTTAATGTGTTTCTGATTGATTCCCCGATTGAGATTCAAAGGGTGGTCATAAATGTTTCAGGACAAAGGGTCTCTTTGTGTGAATGGGGCCCCAGTTGAAATGGAGGAGTAGTTTGAGATTACCAGATTATTTCCTACTAGCCCAGTGAGTGAGGCGAGGCGAGCCGCAGCCCTGCGCCGTGCTGTGCTGAGGCTGAGCATAATGAGTGTGGTAGCAGGGAACCACAACAGAGCCGGGGCAGAGGCTGCCTGGGAACCAGAGGCCCATGGCCCACAGCCAAACACACACACAAATTCTGCCGCACACTTGTGGCTTTTTAAGAAAGCAATTTAGTTAATGATTTCATTTTGAAGCACTGTCATGATGCATTGTGTCCCCTGGGTGAGCCAGCAAAAGGATAAAGGAGAAACTAACACAGAGGAAAAGGTATTAGTAAACACCAGCTTCCCCTCGACAACCACAAAAATAACATGCAACCGAGCGTAATGTGGCATTTGTTGTGAACACTGCAAAAAAAATCACTTGGGTAATAGGTTGTGGTATGTATATCACTTGTGGCTCCTGCTTCTTTTGATGCATTGCTCTGGACAAATGCAGAAAAGAGTAGAAGCACAGTGTAAGTATGGGTCATGGTTAGCAGCATAGACTACTGAGGCATTTTGAGTTTTAGTCAGTGTCTAATCCACTACAGTGCCCGCTTCCCTGGAGTGGAAATATAGCACATCTTTCTGTTCAAACATGTCTGTCAGCTCTCTGATTTTATTAGGGCTATGTTTCACATTCATTTACTCAGGTTCTCTCAGTGCCGGCCAATGAATGAAACCATCTTAGCATTGCTAAAACAGCAGCTTGTACATGTCTTCTGTGAACCAAATTTTTGGGCAATTACTCAGATCAGTGGCTGGGGTTTCTGGTTTTGCTCTTCAGATATCATTTTTCTCCAGTCTCTCTCTCCCCTTTTTTTTTATCAGCTGTCAATCACTCATGGTAACTTTTAACCACCTCCAAACAGGGCTGGGTGCCAGCCATTCATTTAGACCTTCTTTTTTGCTCGGCTTCTTCCTGTCTGACCTGTCAGAATGTAACACACTGTTGACCATGCTTTCTATTCAGCACTGGCAAATTAATTGGTTTCAGTGGTTTAAATCAGCAATCAATGTCAGTTTCCCAACATAATAAGCCTTAATCATAAATCTTTGAGGTGTGGCTTGCCTGACCCCTATTCATCATGGCTCTGCTAGATGGCCTCATCTGGGTGGAGCAAATGAACTACCCCTGTTTTGATTTTCCAATTGCCGTGTCACATGAAACGTGGCTACTCTCTCCCCTCCCTGGTTCTATCCCAACCCTTCTTCTCACAGTCCTTAAAAAATGAAACACAAGGGCCCAAAGACAAAGAGGGAAAAGAAGTCCAGTTGTCACAAGGGGAGACACAGTTGTGTGCCTTGAGAGAGTGCCCAATGAATACCATTAATTTATTCAGACAGAGAAAAAAATAGCAGAAAAGAAGGAAAAAACCTCTAAAGAATTAGAGGTGGGTCTAACTGTAGCTAATGAGCTGTTGTCCTCACAGCCCCTATAGAATAGCAATAGAGCAGTTTAATTACAACAGCGTTGAAGATGATTTCAAAATGTTTTCCCTAGCTACAGAAATCTATTTGAGATGAGAATGATATTGCGTTTCTTTTCAGTAGACATTTCAACTTTGTCAATTTGGTGACCAGGAATTGTGAAGCATTCGACATCAGGAAAAAAGACAGGAACAAGGATAGTGATGGAGAAAGTGGGACACTGTGTGTCGACATTTCAGATGTCTAAACCAACTGCAGCTGTACC